TTGTATGTTTTTTCTTTGTAATTTCAGTTTTTTTTTTCTATAAAATTGTTATTTTCGGTTAATGTTTTTGATATTTTTTCAGGAGTTTCAAATCAATTTATATTATATTAGACAATGGAAGTCCGAACTGATGAAATACACCTGTTACAGTATTAATGAATTAATGTAATGATTCTATCTACAAGAAAACACTTTTTTCTCACCAGAACAAAAATGCTGTATCTCGATGCGCGTTTTGCTAACTAAGTTAGAATCATCAGGAATTGACTAAAAACGGTTTTGGTTCATCTTCCGAAGATGCTAACTTGGTTAGCGAAACACACTTGGAAAGACAGTGTTTTGATTGTAATCAATATGGTGGAGTCCAGAGGTACATACCTTATAATTTTTTTTCAGTCAACTTGCATCATGCAGTGAATATACATTTTCCTAGATTATTAAGTGAAAAAATTTGTAAATTTGAGAACGTCTCCATCGAACAGTGAAGAGTAAGTTATTTTGGATTCAATACGTATGATATTTTCATGGATTTTATACATGATTGATAATGCTTTATTAGGAATGACTACAAAACACTTTTCAAAACTATATTTAACGGTCGGAGTCATGATCAGGGAGAACAAAACCCCAGATTGAAGGCATGTTTCGAATGTAACATTTAGTACTAAACGTTTCGTCTGCTACTGCGGCAGACATCATCAGTGGTATGTGCGTTGGTTATATCTCGAAGTATCAGCAACAACTGACTTTTCAAAAAATCTGTCAGCCGTGAAACTCAAATGATTCAAGAAAAATACAGTGTGTTTTTTGAACATGTTCACATGATTCAAGTGAAAAGAAATTAGGTCAAAGTTGAAGTGAAGAATCTCAATTTTTCAACTTATTCGCTTCTCTGTATATAGAGCTTTTCGCCATTTATATTGTTTCTTGACAGCTTTCATATTTTGTATGACATTACATTCAATAATAATTATTAAATAAGAAGGCTTTGTTGGTGAAATATAAAAAAGTATCACGTTTAAAAGAACTGCCATTTAAATTAGTGGTTAACTCAAATCTTGACCCACTGTGTCTCAAAGGGGGAGAAAACCCACCATTTTGAAAAACAGTATTCTTTATGGTCTCACTGAAATCGGATATGGCCCGAAACCATGCAATCGAGAAATAGGAGAGAAATACTCTACCAAGCGGTCTAAAGAAGAATAAAAAGCGTACTACATGCTGACATTATCGATGATGGAACTTACCGTCAATTGTATCCGTGATTTCCGGAGGAGGTATGGAAGGTGTTTCGTTGTCGCCAAGCTCCGACAGCTGATGAGCCCCCAACAATTTCACCTCATCTTGATGCACGCTCACACTCCCTCCCTAAATGAAAACATTTGATGAATTCGGAGAGTTTGACTAGAATATTTTCAGTTAGGTCCAAAAAGCGAAGTTACTGTGTTTACAATAAACAAATCAGTTTACGAAAATACAAAAATAAAACGAAATTAGGAATGGAGGAAAATAGTGTGCTCATTACAGGAAAAATAAAAAAACAATTCAAGGTACGGAGGATGAAACGAAGCGAATTTTTGGGGTGAAAAATAGTTTTTCACGATTTGATCTGTATGAATCATTTCTCCACATAATCACTACACATAAAATTTTTGTATATAGTTAATTTCTGAAATTGATTGCTTCCTTCCTTTCTTTAGAAGATTTCGGCAAGAGAAGTAGAAGGCCAAAAACTTTCTTTCCTAAAAATTATTCTCCTAAAAATATTCTCTTTCAATTTAAGCAAACTCCTATGACTGGGACGTAATCAAATGAGCGAATGAATGTTATTTACGTACTGTCATCTATGACATGGGTGTATTCAACCTTTTCCGTGACAAAAAATCGTAATTATGAACGAATTGAGTGTTTTTCTTATAAAGTTATCTGTGTTTGCTACTGTAGAGCCAATAAGGCAAATGTCTTACGGTGAAACATCGGACGTCTAGCAGTGAGGATGACAATGTTCCATGTACGGAAAATTTTACTTCTTTCGTTAATTTTATTGTGTAGGAATCCTGTGAATGATATGTGATTCGATTCCATTGCGAATGTTTGGAATACAAACGTTATAGAGAAAAGTGTTTTTCGTATAATTCAGTGTCCATATAAAAGTATTTATTTCTAAAGTATTTTTCATTCGTGCAATTCAAGGTTTATATGGAAATAGCTGTTTCGAAAGAGCTTTTTCTTCCAGTTTGTGTCTGAAAGTTACTTCTTTGCATGATCTACACATCTTTGTAAAGAGTTAATTCTTGAAAGTGATTGCTTCCTTCCTTTCTTTGGAAGATTCCCACATTTTTTTGTAACAAGATGGAGAAGTAGGAGGCCAAAAACTTTCTTTCACATAAAAACTGTATTGTTCATTAATGATATTTAAGATTTTATGTCGATGTTAGTTACAAGATGCCTCAATGACAGCAATTTCCTGAAAATAGTTTTTTTATTGGAAAATTTTCGAGATGGTACACAAGAAGTAACATTACCTTAAAAAAAAATTGCCAGAAAAAGTGAAGANAAAAAAACAAAAAACCGGTATTTCCATTTTCTTTTTGTGACATTAAAGATTATATGGAAAAATGGTTGAAATCATAAAAAACGATTTTCCACCCAAAAAATCCACCCCATTTCATCTTCCATATCTTGGATCGACTTTAATTTATTTCTTTTATTCCAAGCACAATATTTTCAACGCAAAACACCTCTAATTTTAATGCCTTTCGCTAAACAGTTGAAACTGTAAACATTTCTTCAAGACGAGTATACCAAGATAAAAAAAAATCGTTAATCGAATATACGTAGCCCGCGAAATTTGAACATTCACCCAATTTTTTGAACAGCCATCTATATACATTTTTGTATAAATTTCTTCCTGCTCTTATTTTTTGAAAGTAACAATTACGTCTCTGCTACTTTGGTTTTGGTATTTTGAATAAGATTGACCTCAGGAGCTTATTTAAAATCATGTATGTCATGAATTTCCAATAAGCAAAGTTCTCTTTTAGGTAAAATTACCTGGAAAATATTATAATTCAATTATTTACCATATTCATTAAATGGTACATAAAAAAAAATTATTCCGGCGATGGAATATTAGACAGTGTTTTCAGTTATGAAACATAACAAGTGAATTCTGCAGAAAACGAGATTGAGTTTACTTATTGATATAGTACGCGCCAACCAAGATGAGTCAGCGCAGAAACGTAAAATCGTTCGGTGTTAAAAGACTCCGCCCACTTAAGTCATATTTCGCCAATGTACTATTGACATCAGTTTGTGTGACCAATTACTATCTCCTGGAGCGGGTACAATTTGGTTTTAAAAGCGCATCAAAATCTCATCTTAGTTGGCGCGTATACAGGGCGGGCCATCGAAAACTTGGCATGGAGGTTTTGGGTACTAATCTTGCCAATCTCAAAAAACGCTCAGACAGGTCGATTTTTATTGGGAGGGGGACAGTTTTTCCCATTTACAGCGTCGACACTTCAACCCCGGAGCAGAGGGGTGAACAACCCTTGGAATTTTAATAGGGAACTGGAGGCGAGTCACACATCGTTTGAAAGATCTTGGAATTATCTAAAAAACTGTGTACATTTTTTTTAATTTGGACGAACCATATTATATTTAGAGTTGAAGTTACTTACTTTATTCTCATGTTAGCATATACTCAAAATGGGCACCTCCAGCTTTCATGCAATAATAGAGATTCTGCTGGAAACGTTCTAGAACATTGCGGAGCATTTCTGGAGTGATTTAGCGACATTCATTTGTGATTCTTTGCCATAAATTTTCGAGCGATGCAGGAGTACAGTAAAATCTGCTTTTCAAATGACCCCACAGAAAGAAATCTAACGGCGAAAGGTCTGGTGATCGTAGTGGCCATTCGATAGTGCCCCGCCTCCCAATCCAGTGATCCGGAAAAGTCTGATCTAAATACTGCCTAACAGGCAGAGCATAGTGAGGAGAAACCCCATCTTGTTGAAATAGCAACAGATCCTCCCGATCATTGTGGTTATTTTCAATAACATCAGTGAGAAGGGGATTAATAGTATCTTCCAGAAGCTCCAGATACATTTGTCCGGTTAAATTACCTTCTAAAAACAATGGGCCAACAATACGGTCACTAAAAATTCCAGCCCATACATTTAATTTTTGTGGACGTTGAGTATGCACTTCATGAAAAATGTAAGGATTTGAAATTAACTGTGCCATTTAGAAAAAAAAACATTCATCGCTGAAGCAAATGTTGAAAACAAAATGTAGATTTTCCACCGCTCGTTCACTAACCAACTCGCAAAATTGCAAGCGTCGATCGAAATCATCTTCATTCAGTTCTTGTGTTAATTTAATCTTGTAAGGAAGCATTTTGTGGGTTTTTAAAATACGCCGAATGCTAGTTCGTGACACCCCGGAAACAAATGCTAACTTTTTTGTGCTCAAAGTATGAGCACAAAAAAATTAGCATGAGTATGAAATTCTCTTGAATAAATTAAAACTATATAATTTTTCTGACAACACTATAAAGTTGATCAACTCATACTTAAAAAAATCGATTTCAAACTGTGAAAGTGGGCAATTCTCTATCAACAAGAAAAAAAATTACAACTGGTGTACCGCAAGGATCTATTTTGGGACCTCTACTATTTATAATTTTCATTAATGACCTACCATATTGGGAGAACCCGTTATCATATAATAGATGCCTGACATATACTAATTTTAATTATATGTACATATTGACTTGTGTAAATACTGATGAATGTATAAAACACCAAATTATCGATTTGCCGATTTTTATTTGCTACAGATCCAATTGCGCGAAATTTTGCAATTAAATCGAAAACATACTGTCTTGACAATGTTTGTATGATTGAACAGTTCAGCGGCTCTCACAGTACAATGTCTATTTCCATAGAACAGTTCAATCAACTCAATCTTCTCTGCAGTTGTGTAAACCATTGTTTCCTTAGCAACACTTTACGGCATTCACTACTACTAATAATGTAGATATCACTTTTAACATAAAAATGAGAAATAGAAACAGCATTTTTAACCATTTCTCAATCGTAATAGTCCTCTCATCAGAGAAGAACTAAAAAATTAACAAAAAAGAAGCGTAAGAGTGGAAAAGTTCCAAATACATTCCAACTGAGCAGCGACGTACAACGATTTGTTGCTATTAACAATATTGAAAAAAAATAAGTATCGGAAAGAACTCTTTCAAATACGCCTAAATTTAAAAAATGTACACCATTGTTTAGAGAATTTTAAGATCTTTCTGAGCGTTTTTTATGATTTGCAAGATTAGTACCCAAAACCTCAATGTCAAGTTTTCGATGGCCCGCCCTGAATTCGTTGATAGAGGCATGAACGAAACAATTTCAGAGGCTGTAAAGATTAACCTGCATATTCGGCTGTGCATTGCAGTTCTACAGAAGTATTACTTGCTTTGAAAATTATTTACGTACCAATGTGTATATTGAAATTATACATTGGTGTGTGAAATTATACTCTACATTAATTCCATATATAGGATAGTATTAAAGACCTTCATATACCTTTCTGGGTGATACTATGACTTCTTGAATTCGTTTTTTGCAAATACAACTTGTTTTATTGTTCTGGAGGTAATTTCGTTACAGTAACTGAATTAATGTTGAATTGCAGAAAAAAGCTTTTGTTTGAAATAAAAAGGGATTATTTTTTTGTTCAATAATGTAAAAGTTGAAAACCAAATTCTTTTTTCTTTTGAAGCTTTTGGTGGAACTCTATGGAAATTTACTAAAGCATGGTTATTAGTTAACGTTTGACACTGGATAAAACATTTCTGGTGGAATATCTAAGATTATTCTAAATTTCTCTTGAATTATAATAAGGACCACTCTACATTGTTTGGATGGGATTTGCTTTGAAAAAAAATAAAAATATTGATTTTCATTAAGTTTATTACCTTGAATCAACAGAAACTCAAGAAAAACAACAATATCATATGAAATGTAAGTTATAATAAAATATTTAACTGTAATATACATAAACACTCCTAAAATACCATTTTCAAAAATATATGTAGGGCTGTAATATACAGTAGGTATGTCAACTGCCAAAGAGTCTATTAATTCTTGATATATTTTGGTAATTCATATACAAATTTCTCTGTAATGTTACAAAGATGGAATACTCTTCAACATATTCAGGTTGGTGAAATACAACCATGAAAAAATAATGACTATCTCAATCTATCGTCTTAGACTATATTAGCAACGAACCAATTATTCTATTTTTGACAGATGACAACCCATGCTCAATAAGTTTTGTACCAATATTCCTCGTAATCTAAGGTTATTCCATAAAAATTTCGATCTTTACAGGCTAGTAATAGAGTAAGTTTCAAGTGACCTNAATACTTTAATATATATATATAACTTAATTTTTCACATAAAAAGTGAAGATTGGGTTGTCAAAACAATCAGATGATAGTTTCCTGATGCGACTATTACCCCTTAAATAAAACGATAATGGATGTTGCAAGTGTGCTACCTCTTTCAACAGTTTTATATCATTTGGTTTAAATTCGTTTTTTTCATTAACAACCATTATTAAAATATTTTTTAATATATTCCTTACAAAAGCTAAAAAAGTTATGGAAACTATCCAAAATACCTAGAATAGAGAACAAGAAAATTCCACATTCAGTGATAAACAGACAACCCATAGACAAAAGACAACCCTTAGAAGTCTGACCTTCTGCGAAGTGAAACTCAAAGAGGTCTTACCTTTTAACGTGTGATTCCTAGCATGGTTCGACCTATAATTTTATCTCTTCAACAACAAGTTTTCATTTATCAATCCATCTTATAAAAAGAACACTATGGAGGAATCAATTATTTGCCAAGATTTAGTAAGTTACACGAGTTGAATATATAAAAAATCAACACTGTTCTTTTTGAATCTAAGTAGTTTGTTACCTCCAAAATGACTGTGAGATTTAAAAAAAAATCATAATATTTTGGATGAAACAAATCCAGATTTGTGGGTTATTTGCTTGTCTTCGACTGTGTGAACCATGATCTTTCAATTTTCAAACAAGGACAATATAAAAGGGGCTTCTCCTCAATTCAATGAAATCATACTAATGAATCCTGGTTAACACCAAGAAATAATATTTCAAAACTGAACGGTGGTTCCTTGAGACACATTTTTGAGACTTCTATAATTATTAACCCAAGATATCTCAACTATCTAGGTTATATACTATTCTGGTCACATAAACTTCAAAACCTGTATGTAATAAATTAACGGACTGAGTGAAAGAAATATTTTGAGGTTGAGACAATGAATGAAGAACAATCCCAGTGAAACAACTAAATTTTTGTGGTAACCCACAAACTATCTTGGAACCACATAATGATATGCTTTGTAAAATATTAAGAAATCATTGTTTTTAACAAAAACATTTTTATTATGCCAACATCAACTGCAGTCTGTGATATATTGGTGACTGGGGTCTTGGTGGAGAAGAAGAAGAAGATTGTGGATACTAACAATCGAAACGTCGTGACATAACTTGGTTTGGAATCTTGTAAGGGTTCAATCTCAGGGTTTTTTGAAAGGGGTTGCTGCTGATCCAATGAGACACCGGATAGGGTGCGAAACAGTCTATTTTCAGTTCGAGGGGGAGACAGAGTACTTATTTGGCTGTTGACTTGATTCTAAAATAATTACAGGCACGGGCGAATCTTGTCCTTAAGGACCACAGTAAGGTAATTTAGAACGAAGTTCACTTTAAAAAGCAAGCAAGAAAAATCTTCGAACAATCGATCAAATATGGCGCATCAAAAACCTTTTCACTCAGGTCTCTAGAGATGAAAAAAGAATCTCGACCGTCGTTCATAAAAAACCTGACACACGAAATACTTTGCAAATGCAAAAAACCCGTCAAAGTGAAATATTGGTTGCCTATCCCGGAGGGCATAAGAGCCGTTGCTACTTGATTAAGGGCGGCAGAAAACTGTAAACAACAGGAATCGGTCTCCACTACGGCGAATAAGTTACCGAGAAAATTCACCAGATGGCGAAACGATACAAGTTAAAATGGAAATAAATCAAATAGATGTGTTTTGTCACAATCTTTCAATTTTAATTTTTAATTTTTTGTTAATAATAATTTTTAATTTTCAGCTTTTATTAATTAGTCAACTCTTTTATTGTTTTGGTTGTTGTTTGGTTTTATGTTATTTCTTTATAATTTCAGTTTTTTTGTTCAATAAAATTGTTATTTTCGGTCAATCTTTTTAATATGTTTTTTTAGGAATTTCAAATCAATTTATATTATATTAGACTGTTACAATATTAATGAATTAATGTAATGATTCTATCTACAAGAAAACACTTTTTTCTCACCAGAACAAAAATGCTGTATCTCGATGCGCGTTTTGCTAACCAAGTTAGAATCATCAGGAATTGACTAAAAACAGTTTTGGTTCATCTTCCGAAGATGCTAACTTGGTTAGCGAAACACACTTGGAGATACAGTGTTTTGATTGTAATCAATATGGTGGAGTCCAAAGGTACATACCTTATATGTTTTTTTTCAGTCAACTTGCATTATGCAGTGAATATACATTTTCCTAGATTATTAACTGAAAAAATTTATAAATTTGAGAACGTCTCCATCGAACAGTGAAGAGTAAGTTATTTTGGATGCTCAATAAGTTTTGTACCAATATTCCTCGTAATCTAAGGTTATTCCATAAAAATTTCGATCTTTACAGGCTAGTAATAGAGTAAGTTTCAAGTGACCTTAAATAGAGTAAACAATATAGATATTATGGTTGGTCATACTGTATACATCCAGTTCAATCTGATATACACGGTGTATCTTAAATTGTGTCATTGATTTCATGTGGTGATTTCTTGTCAAATTTTATGAAAAAAAGTTCATATGAACGCGAGTCCTAACCTAATATGTTTCCAAGTAATAGAAAGTCAAAGTTTTACTGAAAATATTGATCTTTCATTATGTATAATAATTCCAGTGACATCACAGAGGGTTAGCTGATTCATATTCATGATAAAAATCACTGTACGCCACTGTGTTTCTCCAAGTTTGATATTTTCATAAAAAGAAGTATTGAAGTAAGTAGCAAGATTAATGTTATAGAAAGATTGCATTTCAGTATGAATAAAGAATAAAAGAACATAGAATAATACCAATCATAGGAGAATACTAGAAGATTGGATTTTTATCAGTGGTTTGAAGAATTGTACAAAATCCCAATTTTACTCATGGAGTTTCATTCACAGATGAGGCAAGTTCTTCATGGGATGCCGTCATAAACTTTTATAAAAATCATTCTCAGACCTACGAGAACCCTCATATTACTATAGAAAGTGGATTTCAGCAGGAATTTTCAGTGAACGTCTGGGCGGGAATTTTTGGCGATAATCTCATAGAGCCGTATTTTCTTCATCCTTGAAATCAACGGTGTGAGGTATAAACAATTCCTAGAAGATACGACGCCAGAATTGTTAAAGGATGTACCTTTGCTAGTAAGATGAAATATGCGATTAATGAACGACGGGCCACCTGGTCATTTTAGTATAACTGCTCTTGAATCTTACTGATTCCTCTGCTCACCAGTGAATAGGTCGTGGGGGACCTCAACCATGGCCACCTAGATCTCTCGACTTGAACTTTTTGGATAATTTTTTTTGGGAATATCTTAAATCACTTGTTTATGTGACACCAGTTGTCAAGTCAAGGTTCTCATTTTGAGCATCTGATTTCATCATTTTTCATTATTACCTATGCTGTTCTTCGAATTAAATACGAATTAACTAGCAGTTTGAATACGTTTTCCATCTACTATCCAAACATATTTTCATTTTAAAGTTTGTTCAAATGGCGACGAATATCAAATCTCCATTTCTACCCCGCTGACTCTGACTAAACTAAAGTTTAGCTAGTTCAAATCATATCAAACAGCGAAAACAGTGGCGTACAAGTATTTTATCATAAATATCAATCAAGTAAACCTCTGCGACGCCACTGGAACCACAACTACAAATCCAATTTCATGAAAAGAAACCTCTTGTTTCTCACAACAAACACGCGTAGTTTAATCAAAATCGGCAAAAATAATTGTCAGTTATTAATAAAGGAACAATATTTTTAGCAAAACTTTGACACCCCGTTACACGGAAACGAGGCCACCACCTGAAATCAATAACATCATTCTAGATTCACCCTGTATAAGCCAGGTTTACACTGGCCCATTTACAATTTTGTTGAGAACATTAGAAATAAAATCCACCACTTGAAAAACGGTTATATCTTACATATTTCAATTATACAATCANTATATATATATATATATATATATATATATATATATATATATATATATATATATATATATGCGCATCAGGTTTAAAGAACTCAATAGTGAAACAAATGTTTCGAGTAAATATAATTTTACGTGGTTATAGGCCGTTTTGATCACGATATTACTACTGGAAAACTCTTATCTCAAAACAATATCGAATCAAAATATTCGAATATTGAACTGACACAGATAGATCATTACATAAATTGAAAGTGAGGGAACAAATGAGTAGTAAAAAGTAACTGTCTGAATCTTAATATATCCAGAATCTACTTTTCAATTAACTACAATCAAACTCGATAATTACTACCCCCATAAACAGCTGTCTTAGGTGCCCAGAGAAAAGATAAATACTTAAGTTATCCTCTACTTTTTAAGGAATAAACTGTAGATTTCAGTACTCAGACCGCTCCAAAATATATCATCAATATTAGGACTTCTACTCACGAAGTATCGTAATTTTTTATTTTTTTTTTTATACTTGGAACGGTTCTCCGTTGGTACTTTCTAGAATGTCTCCTCGTATCTCAAAGAACGACGTGTATGATGCAACTATAGCTTTTCCGAACGATTTCTCCGATTACCAGATAAATATGCCTTGAAAGTTTTTTTTTACCACCAAAGAAATATTTCAAGAGTAGGAAATAACAATACTGAATTGACTAATTTGACTGATCTTAGATGTTTTTAGGTTTCGGACGGTCCCTAGTTAGAGCCTTGCTTTCGTGTCGGCTTTATGATCGATACTCATCTGGATTGTTTCTGAATCCTGACCGTGAGAATCTCCTCGGTTTTATTTACTCCTGCTTAGTAGACAACCCAACATACCAGCAATATTCTGATAAAATAACGAACCTACAGGGCAGCTCGATTGATTCATCTGAATTCAGAAATTTAAACCCTTACAACCTCACCAAATATTTTTTTTCAATAAGTATTACTTATTGAGAACAATTACCACAAAGTTTGGGAATTGATGTTTTAATTTCATTTATTTACGACGGTGCATACTTAACTTTATGATGCTGACAGAATTTTTTTTGACATTTACAAATTTTTAGTTTTTAAGGTTCATAACTCATAAAAGCTTTCATTCAATGTTGAAAATTTCTTAGATTGCCTTTTGTTTCATCAGTTGTTACATGCTTCAGAGTTAGTTTTAATTTCATTTATTTACGACGGTGCATACTTTATGATGCTGTTTTAAGGGTATTCTTGTTTTTCTTCTATATTTTAGATGCTGACGAAAGGTTTTTTGACATTTACAAATTTTTAGTTTTTAAGGTTCATAACTTATAAAAGCTTTCATTCAATGCTGAAAATTTCTTAGATTGCCTTTTGTTTCATCAGTTGTTACATGCTGATACTTTTCAACTGAAAATTAAAGATTTGTTACTATTGAGTCACACTTGAAACTGTCAGTTGTGCAACACCCATTATGTTTACATTGTTTAAAAAAACTGTGCCACCATCACCACATGGCAACAAAAAAACATTATTCAAAACTTTTAACGGTGTTTCAAAATACGAAGCAATATAAATGCACACTTACAAATATTTTGTTTTGCTTAGAATGTGACTAGTTCAAATACCACAAAAATTTTAATAATCAAAATCATCTCTTAGGCTGTGCTCCAACTCAACCATGATCCTGTTGGATTTTCATCTCGATACTCTGTGCACTCGGACTAGTCTCCGAATGAAACTCCCTAGCCATGCACATGCGGTGCGCCTTGCACTTTTCGTGGTGATTAACGATTTCCAACCTGAAATTTGAACTGCCGACAGCGAAAGAAGTACGTATATCCGGCATGTCGTGGCTCCACTTTCTGCAGTACTTACAATACATGACGTTTTGTGCCTCGTCGTACTGCAACCAGATATACGACCCCAACCAGTTGTGGCGAAAACGACTGCCCTTTCTTCCTACGTTAGGCCGAGCTGGGATTGGCTTGGGGCTTCCGCCCTGGGAAGACTGAATCACGGAGCACTCCTGAGACGTCACGACAGGCACGTTCAACTCTGCAGGCCCCGGAACGGGCGCTCTAGGATACACAGAAGGCAAGTTTGCCAGATTAACGGGCTGCAGCGTCGTCAAAGTCGTATTGTAGTTGTAATCTACGTCCTCTTGGTGACTTCTAGCGAAAGCATTGTCTACGAGCTTTACAGAAACATCCCCGATAGTGTTCGAGTACGTGAAGTCCTTCGGCGATTGACTCAAAGGTGGCGCTGTTAGGTACTGACGCAAAGCTGAATGCTGTGGTAACCGAGCCGCTGGTAGAGTTTCTACGTCCCCATCTCTTCCCCACGATTTTGTCTGTCAACAAAGAAGGAAAGGATATGTGTGAATGCCTCTGGATCGGTTCACAGCATTTTCTGTTGCTTTTCTGTGCGAGGGGTTTCGTAAATGCGTATTTGGTTTACAGGGATTTGATGTATTATCAACAGACTGCTGGGAAAGGCTTGAGATTGCGGCATGGAGAATATCAAGAACAAGAGGGTTACCTGTTATGTTTTTGAAAATGACCATTGGATATGGCTACTGAACTGTACGTTACGACATCCCTAAATTCGTCTATTATGACATGAGTTCGTTAATTAATAGCGAGTGTTGGAAAAAAGAAAGTATAACTCAACAAGAATGTATACAATCTCTTCGTTCAACTTTTGGTAATCAGCACAAAAAAAAGACTGTTTACAATGGAAGAGAACCCAATCGCGTCGATTTGGTCGGAATATGCTTTTATTTGAAGTATAGAATTGAAGTGATACTTGTTTATGGTTATTATGTAATATTCGACTGAAAAACACTCAAATTTCGTGAGGCACCAAGACAACAGCGTTATGCTACTAAATGATGACCGATCGATCTCATTGTTTATAACAATTTGCATTTTATCCACTATTTGCATTAATAAAACAATAATTAAAGAGTTTCAACATGCTTTAAGGCAAAAAAGCAGGATAAAGTCCAATTAAATGAACTCTAGAAACTGAAAGAGAAGACAATGACAAAGGTACAATGATCTTTTATGAATGCAGTACTTCTAGAGCCATATCGTAACCTTCAACTCAAGATTCATTTTGTTAATGAACTCTCTGACAGCATGAGACCCTAGTTAGTGGACACCAAAGTTGATGAGCATCAGAGAGAGAGAGGGAGGAGAGATATATCTGTTTTATTCAACTCGGTAGTGAGTTGAATGGGTTGAATGTACTGCAAAATATTTTAAGAAGTATCGATTGGAAAAGAGTGAAACAACATATTTAGATTTGCTCTATTCAGTGTAAACCAATGAGGAATGCAACGACATACAATCTCTGCAAAACCTATTGGAGACTAGGGGAAAAACACCATCATTGAACTTTCTACACAGATTTGTACAGGGTCATATTTATTTCACTTTATATTTTATAGATAAAGTACAAAATGACAGTGCCATTATAAAGAACTGTTCGTTTTCCTGTTCGACTTAATCGATATGTTCGAATAACGTATTACGCATTTACGAAACCTTTTCATTAACTTTCAGAAAATATGAATCCCTTCCTTCTATCGTGGGGAGGAAACTCTACCAAAAATGAAACTTGTTCAGAATCCACTACACATCTTAGTAACACAAAACACTGCACCACTGCATAGACACATATCCTCAAATTGATATTTTACTAGCACGAAATATAATTTTTTATTTTCAAAGTGGCATACGGCATAGTTTATGTACTGTCAGTTGTTGCGAAGTTTTAGAAAATTATTTTGAACACTAGCAAGTAGATCATGGTGTGTAGGCCCTCACGGCCGGTGTCTAACAAATTGTCGGATGTTTCAGAGTTTATTATCCGAGGTCTTCAGGTTTTTCTACCTGACGTTTTGTTTGCCACTGCGGCAGACATTATCGAAGGCGATTCGGCAACAGTCGAAGTGATCCTGATGCGTAATGACTGCCGCAGTAGCAGACGAAACGTCAGATATAAGAAACCTGTAGACTACGGTTAATAAACCCAAAAACATCCGGCAACTCTGATCTTATATCGATAATAAGCTTATAAATGATTAGTTCTCAACTTCAAGTTAAAAAAAACTAACAAAGTTGATCTAAAAAAGTGTTTGTGTTCACTGCTATTAAATTTTTTTATTATTTCAACATATTTAAAATGGGTATTCGGAATTTGTCTATTTTTTGAAAAAGTGAATCTTTTCAGTACCTCTGAATATGTAAAAATGCTTTATTCAACTGATAATAATAAGCGCAGAGCAACAATCAGCTGTTTTTTAAGGTTTCTCGGATGAAACATCAGTTAAAATACTTTTTTCAATAACTTCATCAAATATTAAAAGAATTATAAAAGACATGAATGGACATATTGAATTCAAAATTGAAGTAAAATAGGCTTCAGTTTCGATCAACAGTTTCATGGCGACTTTCAATATAAATCATATTTGATATCACGGAAGATAAAATTTTATCACAGATTTGGATTGAGAGCTTGAAATAGCTTCAACTCTGTTTCAATACAAATGCATCCCAAGAATAACTCCACTAAATAGGTATTTATCATTGAAAAACATTCTTTTTCAAAGTATATAGGATGCTTTCCTGTTAAAATAAGTTATTTCATGTTATTTGAAACATTATTTTTAAACGCTAATAATTTAATACAGAAATAAACAGACGAGTTAAAAAGTACAATTATATTTGAAAGTACTTATTCTTTTACATATTTTTTTCAATATGAAATTAATTCCAGTTTGAATGACAGCCTCATATGATTTTCAAATATTCAATATTATCAGGAAAATATCTGATATTTCAGTTCATAGCAACTGTGTCAAATACTACCAAATTGAGTAAATCACAGGCCACAGGGTGATATGCGGTCACGAACGATCCGGGAACTGGGCAAAACCTCATTGTAATCAGCCTACCTCTGGTAATGCAGGGCTCTGCCAGAGGTGACCAACTCTTCCCTTGCTACTCGTGGGAACATACATGAATGAAACAACAGAAACAACAAAAACAAAAACCAATCCCGAGGCTGGACAGAAGTGCTCACCTCAATCTAAAGTAGTGGCTGGGGATGAACAGAAATGTCCACCCCAATCTACTGCTTGGAATAAGGCTGGACACAGCAGATCACCTCCAACAGCAAGGACACTTGCAAGAGCTCCACCTTGAATGAAGGCAAGAAACCGGCTGCCCCTGCAGGGAAGCTCCCACACTTGTGCACCTCCACGGAGGGATCCCCAAGAAAACCCAAAACCTTCGCAGAGGCCACCGTGAGACACCTCAAGGTGGTAAAAGAGAGTGTGTGTTCGGCGAGTCTTGGCCTACATCTGCCAATATAAAGGAGATGTCTCCTAGTGATCTGTTCACCTTCCTGGAAAGGACAAGATGGATGATGACCTAGGAGGACAACTACTCGGGATGATGTACAATGGGTCACATGTGGCCTAAGTGCTGTGAGTCTACACTCACCCTACATACTCTACAGATACCAGATCCTGACAATTCCCTTTGTGAATGGTGCTACACTAATTAAAATCCTGACTTCATATCAAAATCTGACTCTCTGTCACTTCAAAAAATTATAGCAATTGTAAATAACAAGTAAGTATTTACATTTTCTGACCCCACGAACTGCTGACCCCACAGCAGTTCGTTTCATATTTAAGCAGTGACAAGTGATGAACTAAATGAAAACAAAGTTCTTGAGAACTCTTGTTTATATTGGAGGAAGTAAGTGTGTCTGTTTGACCTTCCACTGTAACCTGAAAAGATTTGGTGTGGCTCGTCCAAATAAATCCAGCTTCTTGACGTTCAATACTTTATTTGGTCAGTGATCAGCCAGCGATTACTTTCGTTAGGTAGATGAACGACACATTGGAATTAGTACTTCTGTGACACATTTCAGGAAGACACCCTACCATGGCTGCAGGGTACTAACGGCGCCCATCAGCCAGGATTACCTGAACCTCTCAGGTAATATGTAACCATCCAGGCTGAAATGTGCAGCTCTGATATCTTCTTCAGCAGCCATAATAGCATACCAAGATTGCCGGATATTCAAGGTGCAAGATTCCCATCTTTATGCTGGCAGCAACCTACCAATATGAGGGCTTCTGCATGACATCTATACCCGATGATACATTGGATTCAGCCAAGTAAAGCTTGGCTGAATCTAGTCATATACCCTGCCCATATGACCTGACTTGTCCATATGGCCAGACCTGCTCTGCATCTACATATGTACATATCTACATAACTACATAAGCAGGACAACAGGACCAAACAAACGACCCTGCTTTCCATATGACACGACCTACTCTATACATAGCATGTATATTTCAGCTATACCTGATAATACATTAGATTCAGCCAAGCAGAGCTTAGTCACCTCTGCTCTAGGTGAAAGATCTGAAGAGCATAAGAAGATTAAGTGGTAGAACAAACCAGTAGTGTTCCACACTGCAGTTTTGAACGTCGCCTATTTCACTCAATAAAGACCATTAATATTATTATTTGCTGACCTGTTCAGACAGTTTGTTTCCGACCCTGATGGCGATTTTACTTCAGTTGCTTATAAAATTGGTGAATGGCCGAATCATGACATATCAAGCTATTGAAGATGCTTCCTGGCTGAACTATCTAGTTTCCTAGGTTTGTTCAGGATGAAGAGTGGAGGACTTGGAAGTTTTTACTCTTGATCTTATGTTTCGGGGAGGGACAGTTGGGGTTATGTAGTCATCGTTCAACTCCTCTGTAGACTTAGGGTAGATGTGCCACAAGCAGTTAGGCAAAGGAGATATTTCACTGAGTATAGTTACAGTCATACATATTTTTTGCAGCGAAACACACACCTTACGATAAGGCATCATTTAGGCGGGCTTCTTCCCCACAGATGGTGTCATCATAAGGGGAGAAGCCCTTTACTTACTTATACATACTCATATTACCAGGTTGAAACAGTACTGTCTTTTGATGTATCTGTTTTTAGACTCTGATTTTATCTAATTCTACATTACTTAAGCTTGCCTTTGACAATTTCTTTTTAGGTTTGTCTTTGTTTCAACATAGTATACAACTTCAACACCCATTCAACAAGGCAAGCGAATGATCTATCTTCTATCTAGGTTGGAGGAAATATTGGTAATAGATCTATTTATCACAAAGGCATCATTATTTACGATGTGATCTTAAAACGTTTATTTATTTACTAAGCTCAATAATTATTTTACGACACTTTTCAATTTTTTACTGATTAATAGAGGATTATTAAAAAAAGAATGTATTCCCTATTATAAACTTTGTTTCTTGAGAAAATAAACATAATTATTATTAGTATTTCAAATTGAATGGGTAATTTGGCAATGTTGAAAATTTCCTGAAATATTCATAATACAAAAACAAGAAAAAAGTATCATTAAACTTATGATTTCTCCATATTCAGAGGTACTTTACTTTCCTCCTTTCTGTTTGTTAACTTTTGATGCATGTACTAGAACATCTGATAACATTCATTAGGAAAATAGCTTACTATCAAATTGAATATGAAAATTTTAAAATACTGTTATCCATCGTTTCAACCTAACCTAATTTAACCACTAATTGTGATTTGCAGAAAAAAAAAGTTATCACTTACCGTTTGCAATGCTTCTGACATTGAATGGAAGGAATCTATAAGCGGGCTGGAGTCGTGCATCGGCTCTTGCTTTATTACAGGAGAGGATACACGCATATCCTCCGCACCCGAACTATTTTCCCTATCGACCGGCGATATGGGATTCAACTTTGGTACGCTAGTGTTTAACTTTTGAGTGGCCTGAAACATATATTTGATGTTGGAATAGTATTGATATAAACTGAAATATAATGAGTATTGGACAATTTTAATCAGTTTTTACCATGTAGTTAAAATTTTATATAGTAACTCTTTTATGTACTATGTTGCGTAGCTATCCTGTGAATGATATCTGATTCAATTCCATATGGAATGTTTGTCGTACAAACTGAATGAAAAAACGTGTTTTGTATAATTGAATGTTCATATGAGAGTAGTTGTTTCAGAAGTATTTTTTCTTTCGCATAATTCTATGCTTATAAGGAAGTAGTTGTTTTGAGACAGCTCTTTTTTCCAGTTTGTGTCTGAAAGTTACTTCTTTGCATGATCTACACACCTTTGTAAAGAGTTTATTTTGAAATATTTGCTTTCTTCCTTTCTTTGTAAGTTTCCAAATACAATGTTACTTCTAGGAAAACAGATAATTTATAAATATTTAAATTATTAGCATTTTATGAAAACAAGTTTAACAGTGATGAATTTCCAATTCATTTATTTTGTATGAAACTTCATTTCCTATATTTTTCTAGATATTAAAAAAATATAATGCGAAATATTATACATGGTTTGAAATGCGTGAAAGTATGTATATGCAATCACATGATAATGTCTTTGACACATAAAATTCAATTGTGTGACAATTTCCAGTGTCACCCATGGGCATCCATTGGATTTTCATTGATTGGAGAGAACGAAATCCAGGCTATAAGGATGTAATCGCAAGGAACTTGTAGTACCAAACGTTTCTTATGTTACTACAGCAGACATCTTTAGTGGTGTATGCTTTGACTGCAAAGATTTAAAGATACTACATTGTAATTATCAATATTCACACCACTGAAAAAGTCTTTTGTAGTAGTTTGGTACTACAATTTTATTTCAACAAAGATTTAAAGAAACTACATTGTAATTATCAATATTCACACCACTGAAAAAGTCTTTTGTAGTAGCAAACTACTACAAAAGACTTTTTCTTGGTACTTGGACTTGGTACTTGTAGTACCAAAGTACTACAAGTTTATTTCAACTATATGGCCTAGTAGCCCAGATTTCATTCTCTTCGGTAGAGACCCCGGCTACGATGAAATAGTTTCCTATATTATTTTCATTGATTTTTCAATTATTATCAACATCTAACCTAATAACTGAAACAAACTGTGAAACTTACTGGTGTGTTCATTGAAACAAAATTAATAATAAAAAATCCAATCAGTGGTATTCAATATTTATGAATAACCATTAAAAATATCTTACATCATCATTCATGAATCAATTCATTATGCATTAGTTGTTTACTGCCTGCCATTTTCCACAGTACTGAAGGCTTTTTAATCAGGTCATCAAAGGATTCCTTTCAAAATGATTTCAGCTGCTTATCATTTCTCACCATTCCCTAAGTTTCTGTGGTTACACTAAGTCTATATTTTAATCTTATCTTTATACATAAATGATACTGGTAGATAAACTTAAATTTATATGCAATATCAAATACAACAGAATCATAACATAATCCACTGATTTTATGGTAGTAGTGCTTCAGGCTTATTTTACAGTATTTGATACTTGTTCGGAAGAGAAAATTTCAATTTAAATTACACACCTGTCATAGACACGTATGAATGTACAAATGTCAAATTTCAATAAATTGATGGCTGTAGTCGTTACTACTTGGTAGAAAATCATCATAAAAAATTAGAAATGAAACTTTCAATGTTTTTTCACCACATACAAGTATACTTGATACAAGTGTTAAAAAAATATAGAAAGTTTTATTTCTCATTTTTCACGTCCTAATATGAAAATATTTCTACACTATTATAGGCTTTTCAACTATGTTGCCCTTTTTTTAGTATGCTCTAAATGCATTTTTTTTTCAGTATGAATGTTATGGACTGCTATAGTTTCAACAGTCTGAATGCAATTTCATTTCAAGAAGTTATTCGTGCTAAATTTTTACTCATTTTAACTAGCAGTTCCTTTGTTTATTTTTTGTTTTACAAACCCCAAAGAGCTTTTCCTTGTTACTACATACTGTTTTGTAATCCTGTAATTATATGATTATTACCAAGAGAAATAAATATTATTATTATTAATGGCACTAAAATTTCATCAATAATTAATGAATTTAAAGTGATTTGGCCTTATGAATTTGACTATTCTTGCACTATATTTTCAAACAGAACAAGCTGTATTTTAGAACAAAATTCCAGTACTAATTATCATATTTCCAACTACACTATAATGATGATACTTGAACCAAACATATTACCATTAAAAAAATACTCATTCAGGAAAATGTATTTCTGAAATACGAAAAAGTAAAATCTCCTTCAGATTTTGTTTCTTCTGCAGCATTTTTCAAAAATAAAATACCACTATGAAAATAATTTTTTTGACCCAAAATTCTTGGTGACGGCTTGTTCAAGACTCATTAGAACTATCAGATCTGTACTTTTCACATCAATTATTGTAGTCCCAGAATGAAGGATGTAATGTTGAAAAAATTTAGACATTTATCTTTTAACCTTCGCAATGATAAGCTCTTTCGCATATGTTATTATTTTAAAACAAGACAGAAAATGTGAAAAAAAAATTCACACTCAAAATCACTTGATTAATTGAACATAACATTGAATATCTAAACATATATGGAAAATTCATTGAGATACTGAGCTCCCTTTTGAAGTCTTCAACATCTGGGGACTGTGGAAGAATTGGCTGCAGAATCTAACGGTTCTCCTTTTATTTACATTCATTAGATAAATTATTTTGTATCATTTTATGTATTGGTAAATTATAAATGTAGTATTATTATTATCAAATAATACTGGATCAACACAAGTAGTTCTCAAGATGACTTGAGGCAAAGAGAGAGCACCAATAAGCACCCCAGAATTAGGTTGAATAACAGATTGACTATCACTGTAGCCTGCATTGAAGAATCTATTGTAATTCTAGAAACAATATACAGTTTCCTAGATAACTTTTCCAATATATAGTTTAAAATGTTGCAGAGATCATCTATTTGAATGACATGATTTTTTACTGATAATTAGTTATATTGATTTCATTTGGATTAATGTTATCATATTTACATTTAGTTGTTAATCTTATTGCCTTGGTTTTTCTTCTATATTCCATTTCAATAGGCACCGCTTTTAGAGCGCTAGTAGGAATTTGGTCTAGTTGTTGTGTTTTGTTCTTGTTCTTAAGACATATTATACCATTATTATTAATATTTCTAGAGCAGCAGAGCAAACAACTGTCATTTGCGAAGTGGTTCATGAAATCAGTTTGTAAAAAAACCTATATCACTTTTATATGAAATAAAAACAAGTAGCTCAAGGGCACTAATTTGAGGCAGAGCAATATCTGCATCATGTGCAGAAAAAAAGAGAATTGTTGAATTTCATTTTTCATTTTCTAGCAAATTAAAACACTAATACTACTACTTAAGCCACAGTCTATAAATTTGGTTAAGAGTTTATTTCTACCTGAGTGTCATACGCCCTCTATGGGTTGAGAAACACAACAATCACATATTTGATATTATCTATCCCCTTTTCAATCATGAATAAAAACATCAATATTGCAGTTTCAAGAATTTGCTTATCAAAAGCCTGCTTGAACACTACTCAGAATTCAATTTGTCTTCATATTGATCATAAACAGTACATTGTAACAATTTTTCAGTCTAGGGGATAGTATTTATAGGTAAATTCGTTATCATTCATTATTTGTGGAACATTAATTATAGTGCACATGTTTGAAACATCTGGAAATGAAGCAGTTTCCACATTCTATAATTTGAAAAAAATTACAATTGTAACAGCTGTAAAAAAGACAAATTTCTAGTTCACCCTGATGTGTTACTTAATAAATTCAATCCATCCATTAATTTTGACTATAAAAAAAAAGTCTAAGAATTTTACAGATACGTAGCGTTTCATAAGTAAAAATTTGCCTCCATTCCCAAAACAGGAAAAATTGACTATAGCTTAATTTTTGTTTTGTTTTGATTTATTTTCAAACGTCCTTGACAGATGTCGAAATGTGAAGGGGTTACTGACAGAGCATTGTCCTTTGTGAAAAATACATTGAATTTGAGTAATAATCCATTGAGAATGACATTCTTCATTATAATTTTGATGTTTTTCAGATTGTGGAAGGTGATAACCCCAAAAAAGATCCATACACAAACCGATTTCCTCCATAAAAATAATTATTGTTTAATAGCACTTTCCAATTTCAATGTGAATGTGATTTACGTTACATTCATGAAATTTCATAAATCATTTGGCACAGGTTACTACATTCCTGTCACACTTACATGTTATATACATATTATCAAACAATCCGTTTTCTACTTCTAATAGATGCATAAATATTTTGAATTTCAACTCACCTGAGAGTCGTTAAATCTTTCAGAGTTTGAGTTTGATGTCATATCACAGTTCGAAGATGATTTTCTTTTTCGTTTTTCACTTGGAGGGCTGTCTCTTTCAACTAATCTATCCCTGTCTCTTCTTGGCACTTCTGATAATTCTTCATTTTTACTCAGAGAATTGTTATCGGTGAGCCCCCTAATCTGCAGGGCCTCCGCAGTTTTTAGGAACATCGGTAGTAAATTCTGAGAAACATTCACTTCTCCTTTATACATAAAATCTAACAGTGCTTTCATTTCGTTGTAATTGACATCTTTGAGAAAAACTATGGGGTGAGGATGAGCATTCTGTATAAAAATTGTTTCGAAATATGGACTACACGCCGAGAGTATGGTTTGGTGAGCTTTGAACGTTTCGCCGTTACAGGCTAAAGTTACGTCGCATAGGGCTTCTCTGCGCAGGAGGCTACTCAACACGTCCGTCAGGTTTGTCGGATGGTTGTTCCAGCGCAGACAAAACTGTTGATCCATCTTTTTTATTTACCTGTTAAAAACACATGTTAAATCGACTGTTTCACCACAAAATATGCTTAGAACTTTTCAGATTGCACTTGGCTGTACTGCTGTTTAGAATAGAGTTATTTGACCTGAAACTGTAACCATCTAGAAATAACAGTTATTTTACAAGCACAATTACATACAAGAATGCATTTATTATTACAGTACAGTTCAACATTTCCAACAGATGAGAGAGCGTACGTCATGATTGACCGTTTCTCTTTTATCATCCTGCTGGGGTAAAGGGCAGCAGGATGCCCTTAAATGTACAAAAGTAGAAATCTCGCGAATATATGCCTGAAAACAGATTATCCTGGGAGCAAAATATTTGTTTCATCTACTTTCTGCTCCATAGGCAGATGCTTTCAAAATCATCTTGACAGGAATTTTTATAATTTAACTTTTTCTCAAATCCATTCATCACCGTAACCTTTTACCCGCCATTATGGATTTCGTGAATGATTTCTCCTGCTACTACTTTCAAGTTCCGAACATTTTTTTACGCGGAATATCTCCTTTAATCATCAAATTCAAAGCCTATTGCGAAAAAGCGACTCCAAAAAAGTCCAAAAATAATAAAGAATGCAAAAATTAGAAAAAAACTTACCTTTTTTGCCTTGTTTCTGACATTACAACGCCACCCAATTTTGTACCTCCTGCACAGTAGGCAACAAAATCTGTGATGAATTTGATTGGACAAAAAATTTTCAAAAGTATTTCTTCAAATTTGAGTTGCACACTTCCAATTTCATAATACTTTGGATTATATAAACTGAAGATTTGAACATATTTCGGTTTAATTTATTAGCGAAACATTTTTATATGGATTGTTCTTCCAGCCACGTAATAAAATACACCGTTAGTGTATGTTGGGTTGCATAATCAAAGACGCAGAAAGGGCTAAAAAATCTTGGCTAACTATTGTCGGCTCCAGTGTACAGACTGTTTCAAGTTCGTTATATCTTCCTCATTATGAAATGATATTCTATTATGTTTTTGTTGATTTTGTGACGAATATATAAAAAATACTTATTTCCATGAAGATCCCATATTTTCCGATTATACGACACCAATAAGTCATTCATTAGAAGAAAATATACCCATACATTCAAACTGATGTAGGTACTGTCACCACATAAAAGTGTTAAGTTTTGAAGAAAGGATGATAAAATGCAAACAAGTTTCTCTGAATCACAAAAGAATCTGTTTCATCGCTGAAAAGAAATACGAAATAGTGAAGACTAGCTGGCTAAAAATGTGTAAAGTTTCTGTTACGGAGAAACGTAAGAAACCTAAATATTCATGACAGGTCATAACTCACGAATAGTTTAAATAAACTCTTTTGTTTCTTGCTTCCAATGACTGTTTTAAGTATGCATAATTTATACCAAATCATTGAAGCGAATGATTGAAAACCACACTAAAAGAAGTCCTTTGAAATATTTTTAAATTCCAATTTTTTATTACCGGGAAGATTCATAATTTAGAAAACCATTCTGCAGTAGGAATATTTTGGGTTGTGAATTATTGGGTAAATTGTTTAGAGGTGCATTATTTGCTGTTGAATTGCTGTAATATCGCTTGTCACTTCAGAAACAATTTTGATTCAAAATGTAAACATATGGCATCATTCAGAAAAAAAAAAAGAATTTGGTGTTTCAACTGTATCAACCATAGCCGTTTAAATGTTTTTCAGAATACTCATTCAAGACTCTTTCTCTAGGTTCGATTAATTTTCAGCTAGTTTATGTACAATTTTAATAGTGAGCGGTATTAATTTTGAGGGAGAAGAAACACTAATTGCTAATTTTCAAACGTTGGGATAATAAGAAACCGCAAAATTTTCGACTTTACGGTTTTTCATGATTTCAACTCAGAACGATTCGCTATTAAATAATATTGGGCAAAAGTTTCGTCCGTTTCTATAAGTACTCAAAACTAATATCTCAGTGAATACTCATTCAGTTCAATCGAATAATTATTAAATTTAATCTAAATGAGCGCCATTTGAAACAGTGCACTTCTGTGAACGTAAAACAAGTCGATAATTCTATCAGCATAAAAGTTGCATGCTCGGGATTCGATGAAGTCGACGAAGGCCGTTTTTGCCTGGTCCTAATGGGCCAAGGTTTTACCGGTGAGAATGTTACCGAAGTGTTTGAAAAAAGTGTGTTCGTTTGTCAAGAGCTCTGTGAAATATGGTGAGTGAAGTAGAACTTCGACGCCCAATTCATTTAATTTTAGAACGGTGATTTGTGAAACGTGCGGACGGGCGTTGTCGTGGAGCAGGATCGGACCTCTTCTGTTGACTGGTGCCGGCTGCTGCTGACGCAATTTTCGGTGCACTTTGTCGATTTCCTCACAGTAGACTCTGCTGTAATGGTTTGGTCCGGTTGCAGAAAGTTACAGTAATCATCTTGACAGGAATTTTTATAATTCAACTTTTTCTCAAATCCATTCATCACCGTAACCTTTTACCCGCCATTATGGATTTCGTGAATGATTTCTCCTGCTACTACTTTCAAGTTCCGAACATTTTTTTACGCGGAATATCTCCTTTAATCATCAAATTCAAAGCCTATTGCGAAAAAGCGACTCCAAAAAAGTCCAAAAATAATAAAGAATGCAAAAATTAGAAAAAAACTTACCTTTTTTGCCTTGTTTCTGACATTACAACGCCACCCAATTTTGTACCTCCTGCACAGTAGGCAACAAAATCTGTGATGAATTTGATTGGACAAAAAATTTTCAAAAGTATTTCTTCAAATTTGAGTTGCACACTTCCAATTTCATAATACTTTGGATTATATAAACTGAAGATTTGAACATATTTCGGTTTAATTTATTAGCGAAACATTTTTATATGGATTGTTCTTCCAGCCACGTAATAAAATACACCGTTAGTGTATGTTGGGTTGCATAATCAAAGACGCAGAAAGGGCTAAAAAATCTTGGCTGACTATTGTCGGCTCCAGTGTACAGACTGTTTCAAGTTCGTTATATCTTCCTCATTATGAAATGATATTCTATTATGTTTTTGTTGATTTTGTGACGAATATATAAAAAATACTTATTTCGATGAAGATCCCATATTTTCCGATTATACGAAACCAATAAGTCATTCATTAGAAGAAAATATACCCATACATTCAAACTGATGTAGGTACTGTCACCACATAAAAGTGTTAAGTTTTGAAGAAAGGATAAAATGCAAACAAGTTTCTCTGAATCACAAAAGAATCTGTTTAATCGCTGAAAAGAAATACGAAATAGTGAAGTTCAGCTGGCTAAAAATGTGTAAAGTTTCTGTTACGGAGAAACGTAAGAAACCTAAATATTCATGACAGGTCATAACTCACGAATAGTTTAAATAAACTCTTTTGTTTCTTGCTTCCAATGACTGTTTTAAGTATGCATAATTTATACCAAATCATTGAAGCGAATGATTGAAAACCACACTAAAAGAAGTCCTTTGAAATATTTTTAAATACCAATTTTTTATTACTGGGAAGATTCATAATTTAGAAAACCATCCTGCAATAGGAATATTTTGGGCTGTGAATTATTGGGTAAATTGTTTAGAGGTGCATTATTTGCTGTTGAATTGCTGTAATATCGCTTGTCACTTCAGAAACAATTTTGATTCAAAATGTAAACATATGGCATCATTCAGAAAAAAAAAAAGAATTTGGTGTTTCAACTGTATCAACCATAGCCGTTTAAATGTTTTTCAGAATACTCATTCAAGACTCTTTCTCTAGGTTCGATTAATTTTCAGCTAGTTTATGTACAATTTTAATAGTGAGCGGTATTAATTTTGAGGGAGAAGAAACACTAATTGCTAATTTTCAAACGTTGGGATAATAAGAAACCGCAAAATTTTCGACTTTACGGTTTTTCATGATTTCAACTCAGAACGATTCGCTATTAAATAATATTGGGCAAAAGTTTCGTCCGTTTCTATAAGTACTCAAAACTAATATCTCAGTGAATACTCATTCAGTTCAATCGAATAATTATTAAATTTAATCTAAATGAGCGCCATTTGAAACAGTGCACTTCTGTGAACGTAAAACAAGTCGATAATTCTATCAGCATAAAAGTTGCATGCTCGGGATTCGATGAAGTCGACGAAGGCCGTTTTTGCCTGGTCCTAATGGGCCAAGGTTCTACCGGTGAGAATGTTACCGAAGTGTTTGAAAAAAGTGTGTTCGTTTGTCAAGAGCTCTGTGAAATATGGTGAGTGAAGTAGAACTTCGACGCCCAATTCATTAAATTTTAGAACGGTGATTTGTGAAACGTGCGGACGGGCGTTGTCGTGGAGCAGGATCGGACCTCTTCTGTTGACTGGTGCCGGCTGCTGCTGACGCAATTTTCGGTGCACTTTGTCGATTTCCTCACAGTAGACTCTGCTGTAATGGTTTGGTCCGGTTGCAGAAAGTTACAGTTGAATCACACCAGTTGCTGACCACCATACAATAACCATGGTATTTTTTAAAAGGTTTCCGCCTTTGGGAAGTGCCTGGGTGGCTTATTGTGGTCCAACTACTGTCCTGAACGTCTCCTGTTGTTGAATAGGATCCACACATGACGATCCGATCAATAAAAGGATCGTTTTGGTTGTGCGAAAGCAAAAAAGAACAGACTTCAAAACGTAACAATGTCTGTCGATTGTTCAAATTATGGGACACCCACTTTTCGAGCTTTTCGAGCTTCCCAATACATTTTAAATCATCATACCGAGATTGCCGGATAT